AAATGGCTATTTACCTGCAGGTATATCACAACTATTTGTCGTATCCTTTTATTTTATAGTATATTTTTTATTCCCAGACCGACCTGTAATGCAGGCAGTGGTCTTCCCACATTTATTAGGAATTATTTTGCTCATTTTATTTATTTTTTATTACATTTAAATGGGCTATTTACTGACAGTTATATCACAACTTTTGTTGTATTTTTTATTTTATAGTATATTTTTTATTCCCAGACCGACCTGTAATACAGGCAGTGGTCTTCCCACATTTATTAGGAATTATCTCTCCCATTTTGTTTATTTCATTACATTTAAATGGGCTATTTACTGACAGGTATATCACAGCTCTTGTATCTCTCCCATTTTGTTTATTTTCATTACATTTAAATGGGCTATTTACTGACAGGTATATCACAGCTCTTGTATGCTTTTTATTTTATAGTATTTTTTTTATTCCCAGACCGACCTGTAATGCAGGCAGTGGTCTTCCCACATTTATTAGCAATTATTTTGCCAATTTTATTACATTTTAAATAGGCTATTTACTGACCGGTATATCACAGCTCTTGTATCTTTTTATTTTATAGTATATTTTTTTATTCCCAGACCGACCTGTAATGCAGGCAGTGGTCTTCCCACATTTATTAGGAATTATCTCTCCCATTTTGTTTATTGGGCTATTTACTGACCGGTATATCACAGCTCTTGTTGTATCTTTTTATTTTATAGCATTTTTTTTATTCCCAGACTGACCTGTAATGCAGGCAGTGGTCTTCCCACATTTATTAGGAATTATTTTGCCCATTTTATTTATTTTGTTACATTTAAATGGGCTATTTACGGACAGTTATATCACAGCTCTTGTTGTATCTTTTTTATTTTATAGTATATTTTTTATTCCCAGACCGACCTGTAATGCAGGCAGTGGTCTCCCGTAACTGAACACTGTCAAGCGTTAAGTTTTTTTGGCTGTTGTATCACATCAACATTCAGTGTTTTAGAAAGACAAAAACAGCTGAGAGCAGCAATGTTTTTCTCCACCTTCTTTTGTCTCTCCAGCTTGCCTTGGGTGCTCCTCCCAGCCTGCCCAAGATGCTTATCTGATTGGCTGGATGTCTCGCAGGAGGAGCTAGCCAGATTGTTTTTCTTCTCCTGCGTGACATCACTGTATTTGTCTCAGCGCTGCAAGCCTGGGAGCTCAGTTGAGGATCTTGCCTGGCTGAGGAGAGACGTGCCGTGGATTACGCTTTAGGAAATGATGAAGAGAGATTTATTTTCGTGCATGGACTGAATCTCGCGTTTGACTAAAACAAGCAACCTTTTTTTTTTTTTTTTTGTTGCATTTGTTTTGACAGAGACGTTACGAACGGGTAAGCCACGTTGAAAGGACAGATCTGAGAAGCTATTGTGCGGCTCGCCCTCTCTAATGTGCAGTAACGATGAGCCCAGCATTCGGAGCCATGGAAGTGGAGCACTACGGAAAGGGAGTCCTGCTCGAGCCTTTTTTACACCAGGTCGGAGGGCATTCTTGTGTCCTTCGCTTTAACGACAAGACCATCTGTAAGCCCCTCATTCAAAGGGAGCACCTGTTCTATGAAACACTCCCTGCCGAAATCCGAAAATTTACACCGCAGTACAAAGGTAGGTTGACACTTCTTTGTGGCGGGTCACCGCTTTTTCAATGTTTATTGTACAAATGTTGTCATGACCTGTTCTCCCTAAAGCTCTTTCTTTCACGGAAGAAGTTTTTGGGAATGATTTTTCTATATATATATATTTTTTTTTTTTTTCCATATATTTTGATTTTGTTAGGGGCAGGCTGTGATGCGTGTGTTGGAGATAACGATTGGGTCTCTTGGCTGGCTAAAAAGCTTTAGAGTTTAGACAGCTGTGCTTGCGGCCCTGTGTCTCCCTTAGACTCCGGTGGGTAAGTGAAACCTCAGGAGACCAGCGTTTTAAAGCAACCTGGTCCTGTCGACTCTGCCTTTTTTTTTTTTATTCCTTTTCTCTCTCTCTCCTACTTTTCTTCTCTGGCTACGGAAAAGAGGTTGGTTTTCGGTGGAAAAAATTCACTTTTTTTTTTTTTTTTTTTTTAAAGATCGATTTACTTGAGTTTGCTTAAACTGTTAAGGTAAAAAAAGAAAAGGAGCTACACAGGCTGAGTATTTCCTGTACCTTCTACATACTTTCCCTTTCAGAGGAAATGAAAATTTATTTTTGGATTAAAGGATCGCAGTAAACTCTCGGAATGAGTCACCTCAAGTAAGCAAGTGGAGTTCCCGCTTCGAGGGCTTTGCGTTCCAGAGTCAGTATTCTTTGTTCCCGAGTAATAAAATTAATTGCAGGTGATTCAGAGTTTTGGGATATGGGCCATTCCCCCCCCCCCCACCCCCTAATATTCTCTACACAATGCTGCTGGGTGACCTTACCAGCCGTACATTCCTGTATTTTGAAGGTGGCACATGAACAGGTAAACAAAGGGGTACAGGTATTGAGTTACTGAACTATTCATTGCAATCGTCCCGCCTAACAAACACACGGGTAAGCAGCCACGACTTTGAAATGTTACCGTAAAATCTTACAAGCTGTGTGTGTGTGTTTTTTTTTTCTGTTATCTTTCCTTTTTTTTCTTTTTTTTCTTTTTCTTTTCCTGGTGTTCTAGTTTGTGATATGGTGGAGGGTGGGCAAACGGCTCCGCACAGTCCTAACTTTTCTTGGATATAAAGCTGTTTGCTAGCTGGCGTCTACTTTTATTTTTTTTTACCCTTAGCCCTTCCATTTGTGCTTGAAAGCAGACCGCTGTTGTCCCCAGCTCTCCTGTTTTAGTCCCAGGTCCGCCTGCCCTGAGGGAAACGAGCGACACCAAGATTCAGATACTAGGACCAAAAAAAAAAAAAAAAAAAAAAAAAAGGGACAGTTCAGGACTATTGAGGACTTTTATGGCACTCCTGGAAAACAGCTGAATGGCTAAAAGACTATTAAATTTAAAAAAAAAAAAAAAAAAAAAAGTGCACTAAAGACTTTACTAAGCAAAACGGTGCTTTATTTTTTTTTTTATAGAAGAGTTCACCACAGATGAAATTAAGTTTTTGCTTTGTGTGTCCCAGTTTTAATACCGCTACAAATAAAGACGCTGAATTTTTTCACTAATACTATAAAGAAAGTTTATAAGCTATGGTGACTCTGATGCATTTTAGGGTAGATTTCGCTGTATTGTTTGTCTTTCCCCCCCTTCGTTTTTTTTATTTTGCTCTGCTTGCACATCTCCTAATTGAATGCTTTGATCCCTTCATAGTTTTGTGACATTGAATGCCTTTTTTTTTTTTTTTTTTACTCTCGCTTTGCTGCAATGCATATGAAACACATGTAGTGTTTCGCTGCAAAGATGTAAATAAAGTTTTGTTTTACATCTTATTTCACATGCTACCAATAAAAAAGAATATTTATTTTACTTCAATAAATATTTTCATAAATGGAAATTGTCTCCTGTTATTATTTTGTCAGTGTTGTGCTTTTGTTGGGGATTTTAATAGGATACTGCTTCCATTATAGCAATTGTGCCTTTTGAATTATGCTGTCTCTTCTGTGTCGGGTGTTTTCTGTGTTTAGCCGCTTTTGATATCTGCTAGGTTGGCAGATCAGGTTGGGCCTGTGACAGGATAAATGCTAAGGATTGGGTAAGACACAAAACAGCTGTCATTGTAAACCTTTTGTCATGTTGAGCTTCGCTTTCCACTTTGTTCTCTAAATGTGCCCTCCTCTGTGCCCCTGCAGGTGTGGTGTCGGTGAGCTTCGAAGAGGACGAAGATGGCAATTTATGCCTAATAGCCTATCCCTTAAACCGGGACCAAGACAACCTAGAAAACGTAGACTTTTCAGACTGCAGTGAGCCAAAAAGTAAAGTGCTCAGGTGGTCTAACAAGAAGGCCCTTCTTCTTGAGAACGACAACCTTACCAAGGAAAGAGTTCGACAGCACCGTAAGGAGGAAAAAATCAAGAGGTGAGCCCGTGGAAGCAGTCCTTTTTAGTTTTTGAAGAGAGCGTTTTCCCAAAAATGATTTTTTAGTTATAGCTTGGTAAGCTAATCAGCCCCTTGCTTCCTATATGCAAATAGAAAAATAAAAGAGGGCACACCAACCTGCTGCCCTCAACAGACCGAGGTGGTCCAACTTCACTGAATGCAAATAGAAAAACAAAAGAGGGTGCACCGACCTAGTGCATTATCATTTAAAATATTTATTGAAAAAAACAAAGTATCATACAATGGACATAAAAACACAGGCATATCACACCAAACAAGATATTTGATCCAAGGAAGAGGGCTCTGAGGAAGAGGCTGTGTCCTCGAAACGCGTTAGCCAGTTGGTCATCCAGGGTTCCATCGTATGGACTCAGATGCTGTTTGGATCAAATATCTTGTTCGGTGTGATATGCCTGTGTTTTATGTCCATTGTGAGTGTAATACTTTGTTTTTTCAATAAATATTTTAAACGATAATGCACTAGGTCGGTGCGCCCTCTTTTGTTTTTCTATTTGCATTCAGTGAAGTTGGACCACCTCGGTCTGTTGAGGGCAGCAAGCAGTGCATGTTTCAGAACATCCTTATTAGTTCCACGGAGTCCATTCCCAACGCAGGAGAAAAGTGTTTTGCTGTGTTGGCCTTGCTTCCTATATGCCTTGGGAATTCCAGCAGTGGGATTTCCCCACCGTAATATGCATCTGTAATATGCATCTGTTCCGTCCACCTGGGAATTTTGGGTGACCCCACCAACCCTTTTGCTCCTTTTCTTATTAATGTCAAATCAATAAGAAAAACAAAGGGAATAGTTGGCGTTCCTCATAATGGGAACACTCGCAGACTTGGAAGATTTCAACAATAGAGTCAAAGGGAGTTGTAAAAAAAAAATTGTCAGGTGGTTTAAAGTCTACCAAAAAACTAAAAAATCACTTTTGGGTGGACTGTTTTCATAATGTGACTGCATGTGGTTAAAAGGTAATGCTAACCTCTTGCTATAGCCTGGTGTTAATTGACATCTAAATGGAATGTTATAACTTAACAGGGAAAGTAGCAATGCTGTGAGATATGCCTATTGAATAAGGCAGTGCTCATTAGCAGCCAGTTGGTTTAAGTTTCAGAGTTCATCCATGAATGATGAGTAATTGATTGCTGTGGATTAGTATTTTCTGGATACTCTGCATATACTGAGAGGGTTTCATGGTCTGACACCCCAGGTGTTGTATATGCTGAGAGGAATTCCATGATCTGCCACCCCAAGTGATGTAAATTCTGAGATAGTTCCATGACCCACCACCCTAGGTGTTGTATATGTTAAGATGGTGTCATGGTCCATCACTCCAGGTGATGTATATGCTGAGAGGAGATCCATGGTCCTGTACCCAGGTGCGGTCTATGCTGAGATGGTTGCTTGGTCTGCCACCCCAGGCGATGTACATCCTGAGATGGTTTCGTGACCTTCCACCCACGATGTACATCCTGAGATGGTTTCATGACCTTCCACCCTAGGTGGTGTATATGTTAAGATGGTGTCATGGTCCGCCACTCCAGGGGATGTATATGCTGAGAGGAGATCCATGGTCCTGCACCCCAGGTGATGTATATGATGAGATGGTTTCTTGACCAGCCACCCCAGGTGGTGTATATGTTAAGATGGCGTCATGGTTTAGTACCCCGGGGTGATGTATATGCTGAGAGGGTTCCATAGTCCTGCACCCCAGGTGATGTACATTCTGAGAGAGATTCATAATCCACCACCCAAGCAGATGTTTATGCTGAGATGGTTTCATGGTCCAGTGTCCCAAGTGATGTATATGTTCAGATGGTCTCAGTGTGGCACCTCAGGTAATGTATATATGAAGATGGATTCATGGTCTGGCACCCCAGGTGAAGTATATGCTAATATGGTCTCATGGGCCAGCACCCCAGTTGATATAGATGCTGACATGGTTTCATGGGCCAGCACCCCAGTTGATGTAGATGCTGACATGGTTTCATGGGCCAGCACCCCAGTTGATGTAGATACTGATGTGGTTTCATGGGCCAGCACCCCAGTTGATGTAGATGCTGACATGGTTTCATGGGCCAGCACCCCAGTTGATGTAGATGCTGACATGGTTTCATGGGCCAGCACCCCAGTTGATGCAGATACTGACATGGTTTCATAGGCCGGCACCCCAGGTGAAGTATATGCTGACATGGTTTCATGGGCCACCACTCCAGGGGATGCAGAGGCTGACATGGTTTCATGGGCCAGCACCCCAGTTGATGTAGATACTGACATGGTTTCATGGGCCAGCACCCCAGTTGATGCAGAGGCTGACATGGTTTCATGGGCCAGCACCCCAGTTGATGCAGAGGCTGACATGGTTTCATGGGCCAGCACTCCAGGGGATGCAGAGGCTGACATGGTTTCATGGGCCAGCACCCCAGTTGATGTAGATGCTGACATGGTTTCATAGGCCAGCACCCCAGTTGATGCAGAGGCTGACATGGTTTCATGGGCCAGCACCCCAGTTGATGCAGAGGCTGACATGGTTTCATGGCCCAGCACTCCAGGGGATGTAGATACTGACATGGTTTCCTGGGCCAGCACCCCAGTTGATGCAGAGGCTGACATGGTTTCATGGGCCAGCACCCCAGTTGATGTAGATGCTGACATGGTTTCATAGGCCAGCACCCCAGTTGATGCAGAGGCTGACATGGTTTCATGGGCCAGCACTCCAGGGGATGTAGATGCTGACATGGTTTCCTGGGCCAGCACCCCAGTTGATGCAGAGGCTGACATGGTTTCCTGGGCCAGCACCCCAGTTGATGCAGAGACTGACATGGTTTCATGGGCCAGCACCCCAGTTGATGCAGAGGCTGACATGGTTTCATGGCCAGCACTCCAGGGGATGTAGATACTGACATGGTTTCATGGGCCAGCACCCCAGTTGATGCAGAGGCTGACATGGTTTCCTGGGCCAGCACCCCAGTTGATGCAGAGGCTGACATGGTTTCCTGGGCCAGCACCCCAGTTGATGCAGAGACTTACATGGTTTCATGGGCCAGCACCCCAGTTGATGTAGATACTGACATGGTTTCATGGGCCAGCACTCCAGGTGATGTTGATCGCAAGTTCCTAGAAAACTCTTCTGTCTGCTGACTTCAGACATCTCCTAGAGACTTGTAGCTTAGATACGGCTGGAGTAATAAAATTGTTCTAATATCTAATTAGTATCATTCACATACGTTTTTTGAATAACATTTTTCTGCCCTTAGCGAAACCATAAATTACATTTGTATATTACACATTATTTTGCAGTAAGGCGTATTATCTACGTCTTCTATGAGCCAGGCTAATAGCAGAAAATAAGTTGCGACTTTATCCTACAAATGTCTGTTTTTTTTTTCTTTACAGCCACATGCTGGAAGAAGAGTTTGAATGGTTAAAGAAATCTGAAGTCTTATATTATAGTGTGGAGAAGAAAGGGAATGTTAGTTCACAATTTAAGCACAATCCTTGGAGTATGAAATGTCACCAGCAACAGCTCCAGCGAATGAAGGAAAACGCCAAACACAGGAACCAATACAGTATCCTTTTCTACCAATGTGAACCAATTTCTTACTGTTACTCTTGATGTCCTGCCCCTCTGCAATTGACTTAGCTTCATATTAAACATATCCTCCTGATCCTCACCCTCGGTGTATAGATGGTTGGCATCATGTCTCGTTGTATACAGTGTTCTAAAGCAAATACATTTTTGTGAGTCTGTTTTAAAGTTTCTTGCCTGGAGATCCTGTCAGTAACAGCACATCTTTTTCAGCCACTGCCTTGTAATTAACAGCGTTGTCAGCTTGCCGTGTGTACTCCTTGTATTGGATGTTGGGCTGTCTATCAGCCGAAGGAGCATGCACAATGCCTAATGCTGCTGATTGCAGTCTCCCATCGTTGGTGTCAGTGGGAGGAATCGTCTCCCATCGTTGGTGTCAGTGGGAGGAATCGTCTCCCATCGTTGGTGTCAGTGGGAGGAATCGTCTCCCATCGTTGGTGTCAGTGGGAGGAATCGTCTCCCATCGTTGGTGTCAGTCTCCCATCGTTGGTGTCAGTGGGAGGAATCGTCTCCCATCGTTGGTGTCAGTGGGAGGAATCGTCTCCCATCGTTGGTGTCAGTGGGAGGAATCGTCTCCCATCGTTTGTCAGTGGGAGGAATCGTCTCCCATCGTTGGTGTCAGTGGGAGGAATCGTCTCCCATCGTTGGTGTCAGTGGGAGGAATCGTCTCCCATCGTTGGTGTCAGTGGGAGGAATCGTCTCCCATCGTTGGTGTCAGTGGGAGGAATCGTCTCCCATCGTTGGTGTCAGTGGGAGGAATCGTCTCCCATCGTTGGTGTCAGTGGGAGGAATCGTCTCCCATCGTTGGTGTCAGTGGGAGGAATCGTCTCCCATCGTTGGTGTCAGTGGGAGGAATCGTCTCCCATCGTTGGTGTCAGTGGGAGGAATCGTCTCCCATCGTTGGTGTCAGTGGGAGGAATCGTCTCCCATCGTTGGTGTCAGTGGGAGGAATAGTCTACCATCAATGTTGTCATGAGTAGGTGTAGTGCCCTACCATTCAGTTGGAGGAATCGTCTCCCATCGTTGGTATCAGTGGGTGGAATTGTCTCCCTTCGGTGTCAGTGGGATGAATAGTCTCCCATCATTGGTGTCAGTAAGGGGAAATAGTCTCCCATCGTTGGTGTCATGAGGAGGTATAGTGCCCTACCATTGGTGTCAGTTGGAGGAATTGTCTCCCATCGTTGATGTCCGTGGGAGGAATCGCCTCCCATCGTTGATGTCAGTGGGAGGAATCGCCTCCCATCGTTGGTGTCAGTGAGAGGAATAGTCCCCATTGGTGTCATTTGGTGTCATGAGGAGGTATAGTTCCCTACCATTGGTGTCATTTGGAAGAATGGTGCCCCATCGTTTGTGTCATTTGGAAGAATGGTGCCCCATCGTTTGTGTCATTTGGAAGAATGGTGCCCCATCGTTGTTGTGGCAGTGGGTGGCAGCAATAGTGCCCCATCATTGCTGGCAATGGGAGGAATAGTACCAAATTGCTGGTGTCAGTGGAAAGAATAGTGTCCCATCTTTGGTGTCAGTGGAAGGAATAGTGCCCCAAGGGCCGAATAAAGGCAAGCAAAGGGCCACAGTTTGGAGACCACTGATCTAGACCGTGGCTGCTGAAGCACAGTGGAAGGTATAGTGCATACTGTTGATATTTGCTCTTTGTAATACCTGAGAGAGTTCCTGTTAGCCAATTGACTACTTGAGCGTCAGCCAGTTTTCCCCGCCTTTTGCACTCTCTCACTGTTCGCTCTGTGTCCTGCACGTAGCAGAGTTTGCACCCTTCAGCAAAGGTGACTCTCTAGCCAGTTTAATCTCCGTTTATCATATCTTAAGCAGTCTGGTGATTAGACTTGTACTGGGAAGTGAAAGCTGATTAGCTGTAAAATGCCTGGCGTCACTTCCAATGCTCTCATCTTGTACTAAGATGCCTGTGTCTTTTTGTAACTTTGAGTTTCAAGCTTCTGGTAATGCCAATGACAGGTGACAGGGGTCTGAGTCTCGTCTGGACATACACAAAGCTGCAGCCAGTTGCCAACAGACCTTCTGGCATAAAATCCATAGAGTGGAAGTTGTTAATCCCTTTTTGAAAGTGTTGTAACACTGGAGTATAAAAGACTTTGTTGTTTACTGTTCTTATAATAGCCAGATTTATTTCCAACCGGAGAACAAATGCGCCTTTGTATGCATACTCCGAGTATCAGTAATCTGCATTATTGCCACATAAAAGATTTTCTTTGAACACTTCTTTTTCGATTTTCTTCTTAGCGGAAGGAATCCGTACCCAACAAATGTGTTTTAAATGATAGCTTATCTAGAATATATTGCTTTGTAAGTATATAATTCAGGCTGACTCTGCCTAAGCAGTGATTGTAGTAAAATAACTTCCTTTAGGTTATGGTTCAGGACGTAAGGTAGTCGTGATTTACGAGGATAAAAGTTCTGTGTGTTCCTTAACTAATTAGAATTCATCTTATTGGAAAACCTGACATGTCGGTATCAAGTGCCATGCGTTCTCGACCTGAAGATGGGCACGCGGCAGCACGGGGACGACGCATCGGAGGAGAAGAAAGCAAACCAGATCCAGAAGTGTCAGCAAAGCACATCTGCAATAATCGGGGTCCGTGTTTGTGGGATGCAGGTGAGTTTGCAAAAAAGCAGTTTACTTTGTTCACATAAAGACAATCCCTTACTGACTGTCTGTTCTAGCATATTGTTAGTCGGGGGTCTTCCTGTGATCTTGAAGCAGCGTTCTAGGATGACCACCGAGTATGCTGGGATTTTTCATTGGCCGATCCTTCATGATATTATTATACAGGATTTATATAGCGCCAACAGTTTGCTCAGCACTTTACAATATAAGGGAGACAGTACAATTACAATACATTTCAGTACAGAAGGAATAGGAGGGCCCGGCTCGCTCATGGAGCTTACAATCTAAAGGAAGGGGGAGGTGATACAAAAGGTGATAGCTGCGGGGGATGATCTGGTGGAGGTGATTCAAATACAGTTCTTAGGTGGAGGTGGGGTAGGCTTCCCTGAAGAAGTGAGTTTTCAAAGATCGCCTGAAGGCAGACAGGGTGGGGGCTGACCGAACATGCTGTGGTAGGGAGTTCCAGAGGATGGGAGAGGCTCTGGAGAAGTCCTGGAGGCGAGCATGGGAGGTGATGAGGGGAGCTAGAGAGATTCTATTTTAAGCATTTTCATATCCTTTTTTTTTTATTACACTAGGGAAATGTGATCATTGCTTTTGCAAATTGCTGATCTCTGTGCTTGCCACACCTCTATGCCTACCACCATCAATGATTGCTCAGCAAACATAAACTATAAGGCCTCCTTCGAACAGGCATACCAAAGTGTATGCCCATGCAAGGGTTGTGTTTGCAACCCTCCACATGAGGATGCACAGGTGTTCCATGCATCCCCATGCAGGTACTCTCATTCATGTCAGCTGGGGCGCAGTGGCTGCAAGGGCTCAGTTGCTGCTCCCAACTTGACATCTGTGTGTGCAGATGCCTGAATACACATTGTCTGCGGTTTGGGGGCCTGCACCCACATGGCTTTCAAATTGGGGCAGTGGCTGTATTTTTACTGACTTGAATGGGACTGCCTGCACAACACACCTGTGTATCCAGTGCGGGGAAACCGCCACCGCTCCCATCTGTATGGGTGTGTGATCCCGAAATCAAGCTTTCCTGATTGACATGAATGGTACTGTCTACACGGAGATGTATGAAGCATCTGTGCATCCCCAGGCGGGCAAACCTGGCCCTCACATGGGCATATGCCCGTATGAAAGAGGCTGATGAGTATACTCTACTTGGCTGTCTGTCTTTCTTTGAAGTCCTGCTTTAAACCTAACGCCAGCCAAAACTTTTTGGATGGTGTGGAGTTAGAACTTTTTTGGTTCTTATTGCTGTCTGCATCTGGGAAATATTTTAGGCATCAACAAAAACACATTTTTTTAGTGCAGTGAGAGAAGGTATAGAACACGTGAAAGTTTTTGTATTGCTTTGTTTACAAGTCTACATCCATATGCCTGTCAGACACATAGCAGTCCCATAAAACATTATATATTTATAAAGCTTTATATGTGACATTCACCAAACATTCATTACATGTGAATCTTTCCTGGTGCATGTGTTATAAATTACAGATCATTTGCACTGAATATTGGTGAATGTTACACCCTATGGGGTGGATTTGCTTAAAAAAAAATAAAATAAAAACTGGAGCACTCAGAATCTGGTGCAGCTGTGCATGGCAGTCAATCGGCTTTTAACTTCAGCTTGTTCAGTTAAACTTTGTTAAGAAAACCTGGAAGCTGATTGGTTGCTGCCACATTTTGCACACTCCAGTTTTAGTAAATAATCCTCTGTTAGGGGTCTTCAAACTTTCTAAGCAAGGGCCAGTCTACAATCCTTCAGACTTTAGGGGGGCCACACTGTGACCAGTGGGAGTAGAAGATGCTCCGGCATCAGTGAGCATAAACAATGCTCTATTATTGGTTTGAAAGGAAGGAATAGTGCCGATCATTGGTTTGAAAGGAAGGAATAGCGCTGATCATTGGTTTGAATGGGAGGAAATCATGCCCGATCATTGGTTCAAAAGGAAGAAATCGTGTCCAATCATTGGTTTGAAAGGAAGAAATCGTGCCCGATCATTGGTTTGAATGGAAGGAATAGTGCCGATTATTCGTTTGAATGGAAGGAATAGTGCTGCTCATTGGTTTGAATGGAAGGAATAGTGCTGCTCATTGGTTTGTATGGAAGGAATAGTGCCGATCATTGGTTTGAAAGGAGGAAATCGTGCCCGCTCATTGGTTTGAATGGAAGGAATAGTGCCCAATCATTGGTTTGAAAGGAATAGTACTGATCATTGGTTTGAAAGGAGGAGGAAATCGTGCCCGATCATTGGTTTGAATGGAAAGAATAGTGCCGATCATTGGTTTGAATGGAAGGAATAGTGCCGATCATTGGTTTGAATGGAAGGAATAGTGCTGCTCATTGGTTTGAATGGAAGGAATTGTGCCCAATCATTGGTTTGGTAGTTGAAAGTTGAAAGGAATAGTGCTGATCATTGGTTGAAAGGAAGGAATAGTGCCCAAATCATTGGTTTGAAAGGAAGGAATAGTGCCCGATCATTGATTGAAAGGAGGAAATCATGCCCGACCATTGGTTTGAAAGGAAGGAATAGTGCTGATCATTAGTTTGAAAGAAAGAAATCGTGCCCGATCATTGGTTTGAATGGAAGGAATAATGCCCCATTGTTGGTATCAATGTGAGGAATAGTGCCTCATCAACATTGTCAGTTGGTAGATTAGTGCCCCAAGGGCCAGATGAAGGAAAACCAAGGGCAACATACGACCCCTGGGCCGCAGTTTGGAGACCACTGCTCTGTGTTCTTTCTAGAGAGGAAAGCTGCATTTCCAGAGTAAGGCTGGGGCTGTTGTACAGCCAATCTAAATGAAGATCAGGATTAATGTTGATGAACGATCGGCCTTTGCGGAAAGCATGGGAATTGTATTTTCTTATTGCCTTAATAATGTCCGTCATATTAATCTCCGGTGGGAAATCATGGCTAGTTTTATATGAAATCTATTTGTATTTCCTTTAAGCCAGTTAGCTATGGGAAACCGAAATAGGCACCCTGTTTATCTCTCATTAGGAGCAGAATGATTTGATCGTGCAACATGAAAGGGTTGATTATAACCCTTCTCATCCCTGGGAGGACATCATAGCAAAATTACTGGTTGTGTTTGGACATTGTGCACCGGGAGTGACAGCCAGGAGAATAGCAGACTCCACGGAGTGGAATTGTCTAAGCCCTGTGTAAACACCGGCTGGCCTCCTCATTTCATATTTAATATAACAGTTTGGGAAGCCATTAATGCTGGATACAAAATGTTCCCATGTATTGAGCAACTGGGCTTGTTCTTGGCACTTTAGTCCATGATCTGCCTCTCACTAAACAGCACATAGAAATGAAACAACCTCCTCATCTTCCGCAATATTACTCGGAAGATGACAACCCCAGAGTTCATATAATTAGATGTCAGTGGTGGCAGCTATCATCAGTTCTTTTTTCTAGACAGGTTCCTTTCAAAGTGCGACATATCGTTTGCTAAAGCACCGTGTGTCTTAACGAATTGCTGTGCTTTTTTTTCCCCCATACTGTCTTTATAAATGTTCCTTTTGTTACATCTCTGGCGCCGATCCCCTCAAGCCTTTTTCAGACACTTCTTGATATGCACTCCAGTGACAGCTGCACACCATGACTCTGGACTGGTTTCCTTCTAGTAATAAATGACCCTGCCTGCCCAACATGTGTTGGCATGCCCCTGTCCATTGTATGTTTTACAGAGATGAGGAGCACAATTGGGAGACTGTTGTCACCCACTGACAGGAAGTGACTGAACAAGAACCCTCATGGCAGGATCATCACCAGGCATTATTTTTATTTATTTCAGGTACTTATATAGCGCCGTCAATTTACGCAGCACTTTACATATATATTGTACATTCACATCAGTCCCTAACCCTCAAGGGGCGTACAATCTAAGGTCCCTAACCCTCAAGGGGCGTACAATCTAAGGTCCCTAACCCTCAAGGGGCGTACAATCTAAGGTCCCTAACCCTCAAGGGGCGTACAATCTAAGGTCCCTAACTCACATTCATACATACACATACTAGGGACAATTTAGACAGGAGCCAATTAACCTACCAGCATGTCTTTGGAGTGTGGGAGGAAACTGGAGTACCCGGAGGAAACCCACGCAGGCACAGGGAGAACATGCAAACTTCAGGCAGGTGGTGCTGTGGTTTGATCCGAACCAACGACCCCTAGTACTGCTAGGCGGGAGTGCTAACCATTTAGCCACTGTGCTGCCAAAGCTACGTTTTAAAAAAAAATGTGAAGTGACGTTTGAAACGACATTAACGTGGTAAAGCTTGTATGAATTTTTAGCGATTGAATTTAAGTATATGCGAAAGAACTCGTAAGTTCGCTTTCATTAACCTCAGAAAAAAGGGTTTAACAGCTTGAGCTCTAGAAGGTTTTACCTTCTTCATGACAAGGGCATTTGTTGCTATTCATCACTGCGCCCCTTTAACTGACAATTGCAGAGTCATACAACACTGTACACAATTGAAATGTATATAATTTTTTCAAATAAGTAGAGAAAAAAAAGGTTGGTGGTATTTGATCACCACTAGGTTTTTTATTTTATTTATTATTTTTTTATATAAACGAGAAAAGATGAAAATTTGGAGGAAAAAAAAAACCCCAAAACATTATTTTCTACTTTGTTATAGAACATATCCAATTAAAAAAATAAATACAATTTCTAGTCTGAAATATATTCTGCTAACATGTCTTTGGTAAAATAAAAAAAAAATCCAATGTGTATATTAATTGGTTTGTGTGAAAGGTATAGCGTCTACAAACTATGCTGTATATTTTACGCAGCTATGACACTATACTGGTAATAGCGGTGGGGTTGTGATAATGTGGCAAGCAATCTGGTGCTAACAGACACTGGCTGGGAAGTACACACTGACTGACACTGATGTTGCCAGTGACACTAATACAGTGATCATTGATAATACTGTGCTAATGACACTGGCTGGAAAAGTTAACATCAAGAAGGGGTTAACTGTGTGCCTAACAAGTGTAATGCGTGCTGCTTTTACAGATCTGGCTGTTTTTTTTTGTTTTCTTTTCTTTTTTTTTGTTTTTGTTTCTTTTTTCTTTTTTTTTTTTTTGTTTTTTTTTCCTCCTTTTTTTTTGTTGTTTTTTTTCTTTTCTTTTTTTTTGTTTTGTTTTTTCTTTTTTTTTTCTTTTCTCCTCCTTGCTTTTCAGGAAGAAAAAACATCCAGATCACTGTCTGTGTACAAAGTCCTGTGTGTTTGTGAAAACAGGACTCTGTTCTGCGATTGGCCACAGCTGATCAGGTATACAGCCAACATCCTTGCCTATCAGGCTCGTGCTGTGGCCAATCACAGCACAGATCGGCAGGGAACACACATGCCCCAAACCTGGAGGAAGGCTAGCAATGTACATGTATGTTACCATGCCTGCCTGCAGTATATTTACTGTGAGCGGGTCGGCAACTGGTTAACTTGGGCTAGGAAATGGAAGCATTTTGGGAATCGGCCTAGATTTTGAAAACCTTGCAAAACACTTTTAACATTTTTCACAAGAGCCTCGTCATGAAATGTTACTTAGATTTGTTAATGTTCCTAGATTGTAAGCTCCAAGGATCAGGGCCCTCCCAACCCTCTTGTATTGAACTGTATTGTTTCCCGTTATATTGTAAAGTGCTGAGCAAACTGTTGGTGCGATATAAATCCTGTATAATAATAATACACTTGGAATAATCCAGATGGCCCACCTAATGCCCTTGTTCTCCCGCTCTCCTTTCAGGTCTATCAAGCCGGTACGGGGCAACTAATGTTTATGAACAAATACCACGGCAGGAAGCTTTCGGTTCAGGGTTTTAAAGAAGCACTTTACCAGTTTTTTCACAACGGCAAAAACCTTCGCCGGGAACTGATTGACCCTGTCCTTAAAAAACTGACAGAACTCAAAATGGTTTTAGAAAAACAGGAGTCTTACCGGTTTTATTCCAGCTCCCTTCTCATCATCTACGATGGGAAGGAGTTACAGGAAGTGTCCATGGACTCAGACCCCGAAGATCTGGAGGACCTCTCCGAGGAGTCTTCGGATGAATCGGCAGGAGCCTACGCCTACAAACCTTCTAGTAATAAACACAGCGTCGGCACGGCCGACGTGCGGATGATAGACTTTGCTCACACCACCTGCAAATTTTACAGGGAAGACAGCGTCGTACACGAAGGCCAGGACACCGGCTACATTTTCGGACTCCAAAATTTAATAGCCATTATTAAAGAAATAAGAGACGAAAACGGAGAATAAAAGACTCAAGAACTACGTTTCGTACTGAAGCACTATAACTATGTTGATTCCAAAACGACGGCCACTATGTGGTGGTCGAAATCATGACAGGGATCCATGGGTGTGACCCGTGCGAAGACTTGTCCAAAAAAAAACAAAACAAAAGAGGGCATTTACTTAGCTGTGCTGGACAGAGCACCGGTTAATATTGTTATACTTATTTATTTTAAATATTTCTAAAACATTCCATATTTGATGATTCAAATACCTCTGTTACACCTGTGTGTATATATTTTTTTTTTCAATAAATTTCCTCTTTTTTTTTATTCCCAACCCCCCCCCCTTTTTTCCCTCTCCACCATGCCCCCTTTTTTTTTTTCTCCCCTCCCCCCCCCCCCCCCTTTTTTTTTTTTTTTTTTTTTCTCTTTTCACCCCTTTTGAGTTTGTCGTGTTGCAGCCACCAGCCGTGGAAATCAAATGGACTCTATTTAACATTATGCTTGGCCCTCTGTTACATAACCGAGGCTATAACGTTTGCCTGAACTACAATTTATATGCCAGAATATCCATTATTGCATACAGAAAGCTAATGAAAACACACAAAAAAATATGAATCTGTATTGGATATTGTTGCCTGGTGTAGCATTGTAATCTAATACTTCTATTTATTGGGCCCCGAGCCCAAGTTACAATAGCAGTGGAACATGATGTAACTTCATGAACATATGTGCCTTTTGAATCGCACGCAAATACGAAATGCCAACTGCGCCGGGCCGAGGCCCGCTTTTCAGTGTGAATCGAATTGATATGTTCCTCTGATTAAGCCTTGAAGTTTACCATAAATGCGTTCCATGTCATTTGCACTTTTTATTTTATTTTTTTTGCTTCTTTGAAGAGATCATTAAACCAAATACTATTTTGTGATATGTGTTTGTTAAGGGGATCAGCAGAAAATCATAATTAAAAAACAAAAAAAACATACTTTGCTGACATTGAACGGGTATCTGTGCTTTAAAGGGAATTGGCAAGATGGCTGTGTGAAAAGCCCCTAATGGAAGCTCTTCTCGTTTATGGCAGATTCTAGCTCTGGAAAAGCAATGCGATGAATAAGTCACTTAAAATACTATGGTGCAGGCTGTGAGTAAAAAAAAAAATGGCGGCATCCATATGAGGCTTTAAATACTAGTCTCTTGCTTTGGTGACAGGTTCCTTTTTAAAGTGGTCAAGCGCTTATATACATTGGAGGCCGCCATTTTGTCCTGTGAACAGGCTCCATCATCGATGGGTTTCATGGTTGAAAATGCCTGAAAAAAGAACTGCCCAAGTTGCACCTTCACCAACAAGCAATCCGTTTCTGCTTTTCTGGGTGACACGGTCTGCACCGATCTGTGAAAGAAGGCTTTTTCAGGCATTTTCCGTCCAGTGATGGTGCTGGTGAAAAATGGAACCTCGCATGTTTACAGGCCTACGTCTACTTAAAGCGTGCCTAAGCCCAAAAAAACCGAAAATGTCATCTGTGGCAGCTTCCCACTCCTTAGATGAGGTGGTTGCATTCAGTTTCTTTATTTTCACCCGGTGATCCTGCCAGTAAAACCCACTTCCTGCCCTAGGGTGACAATGCTCATTCACTGTACTCTATAAAGGAGCAGCGGTGTCACTCTAGGCTCTTCTCCTGATTTGGAATACAACCCACCTCCCCCTTTCCTCATCTCCTTAACATAGGGCTGAGCAGTTGGGTAGGTCACAAAAGATAGCTTGGAGGCTCGGTTCACACTGCTGTGATCCCAAAGTCGTGGGACTTTCTCGCACCTTTCGTGAAATAATATTGCAGTCTACGGCACTCAAGTCACAGAAAAGTAGCGCAGGAAACTTTTATTGTTGCTATTGTTGACTTGAGTCGCATTGATTAAGATGGCGCCCATTGAAATGAATGTGTTTTGACTAGTCGTGCGACTTTATGGGGTTTATTTACTAAAGCTGGAGAGTGCATAATGGGGCTCAGTTCTGCATAGAGACCAATTCGCTTCTAACCTCAGCTTGCTCAATTACGCTTTGGTAATAAAACCTGGAAGCTGATTGGTTTCTATGCAGCAGTGAGATTTTGCACTTTCCAGCTTTAGTAAATAAGCCCCTATGTGTTGTAAGTCGCAGCAGTGTGAACCAGGGGCGGAAGGCTAACATTGCTTGAGCTTTCAGAAGTTACACCACTGGATCTCCATCAAGGATCTTCTGCTATTTTTCTGTACTTGCAGAAAATGTTGTTGGCCTGGCAACAAGAAAACAAAGGCAGATGCCACATGTCAGGACTGGTAAGCTGTACGATCTGACATTTTTGGTTTTGGGTTTAGACACACTCTAAGCACGGGTGTCAAACTGATGGCCCTCCAGCTGTTGCCAAACTACAAGTCCCATGAAGAATTGCAAGACTGACAGTTACAAGTATGACTCTCCAAGGTAGAGGCATGATGGGACGTGATGGGACTAGAGGCATGATGAGTCTTTTTTTTGCTACAGCTGGAGGGCAGCCAGTTTGACACCCGTGCTCTAAAGCATTACATGGCACTCTAAAGGTGTTTTCTGTTGAAGAGCCATCAGACCGGGTTTAGTTCTGCCGATTTTGTGTTTTCTTTATGTCTATATATTGCTGTAATACACACGGTTCAGTTTTGGTTACAGACTAATCAGATCATTTCTTGCTCGATGGCAAAGCTTCTGTGGAATTTGAAAATTTAGGGACTTTTGACCATCATGCCTTGTAGAGAAAAAATAAATAGGTGGTGCTTAGCCCTAGGTGTGTCTCAATTCCAGAGCTGGGTTTGCATAGAGGTTTTCTAAGCAATATATATGAGAATGTATCTGGTCACCAGGTGATATTCCAACCTGTATCTGGCCACCGTCTGATATTCCAACCTGTATCTGGTCACCAGCTGATATTCCAACCTGTATCTGGTCACCAGCTGATATTCCAACCTGTATCTGGTCACCAGCTGATATTCCAACCTGTATCTGGCCACCAGCTGATATTCCAACCTGTATCTGGCTACCAGCTGATATTCCAACCTGTATCTGGCCACCAGCTGATATTGCAACCTGTATCTGGTCACCATCTGATCTAACCTTTATGTGGTCAACATCTGATGATCTAACCTGTATCTGGTCACCAGCTGATATTCCAACCTGTATCTGATCTAACCTTTATGTGGTCAACATCTGATGATCTAACCTGTATCTGGTCACCAGCTGATATTCCAACTTGTATCTGGTCACCATCTGATGATCTAACCTGTATCTGGTCACCAACTGATGATGTAACCTGTATCTGGTCACTATCTGATATAACCTTGATGTGGTCACCATCTGATGATCTAACCTGTATCTGGTCACCAGCTGATATTCCAACCTGTATCTGGTCACCAACTGATGATATAACCTGTATCTGATCACCATCTGATATAACCTGTATCTGGTCACCATCTGATATAACCTGTATCTGGTCACCATCTGATATTCTAACCAGCGAGCACAATCGCAGTTCCCGAGGACAAGAATAGAGATCTGGGAGAGCCTGAACAGATGTTGTTTAACAGCAACTTCCATGCCAACCAGTCAAACTACCCAACAGCAACATCCAGCAATTAAGATCAGTTTGTTGCCTTGAAGGAAAAGGTTGCATTTTCTGGTGTGGGACAATTTTTCTTGAGAACGTGGCCTAAGCCCTCTGTGATGTCACAGGTTCCTGGCAAATCTATTGGCCGCTTTCCCAGGAATATTCTATTTTCCTTCTTAAATGGCTTCCTCAGATGCCTGCAGGGAGTTGGTACGTTGTCTCTATTCCTGTCTTCAGGGAATGCTGTTTGGAGAGACCCGTCGTTGTCAATCAGTAAGCAATGGATACATTTTGTGTTCATGGAATAGTAAATAAATATCTTCTATGACTTGTAACGATCTTGTGGAGGCTGTGTCTTCTCTTCCAAGGAAAAAATTCCACTCTTTATTTATTACACAAATTTTAAATTCAACTGTATGATTCTGCGTAAAAAAAAATAAGTCTTTTCATGTTTTATTTTGTGGTGCACCCAAGGTCGTGAGAACTTTTCAGATCTGACATTTAACCAGAAACTTAAAGCGGTTATAAACCTCAAGACGTGAAATCTGATCAAAGCGTGTCCCTCTACAGTAATACAAATAAAAAGCAGCGCTAATCAACATGTGATATTCAATTAAAAATGGAATCGCATTGAGGAAAAGTGAAAACGGACAGACTTGATGGGACCACTCGGTCTTTTTTCTGCCGTCACTTTTCTGTTTCTATGTGAAAAAAATACGACAGAAAAATAGAAATAAAGGTAGCGCTCTAACCAAATAATAATCATAAAAAGCATCATTATTGTTATTATACAGCATTTTATATATATTATTATTATTATATAATACAGGATTTGTATAACGCCAACAGTTTGCTCAGCGCTTTACAATATAACGGGAGACAATACAGCACAACAATACAGTTCAATACAAGAGGGTTAGGAGGGCCCTGCTCTTTGGAGCTTACAATCTAGGATAAAAAAAAATATATATATATATATATATAACACACACACAAAAAATGAAAAAAGTATCAAAAACTAAAATATAATCTTAATTGCCAATATAAACTTATTTCTTCAAACCAATAAATAGTGTCATAATAAAAAAATTATATAAATTCAGAAAAATCAATAAAATACATAAAAGTGTGCAATAATAGTGTCCTTGGATACAAAAAATATACGTGAAAACATCTTTTTATAAATTCATCAAATTCCAATGTGCGATATAATAAAAAGGTGTAAAACTTGAACTTCAGTGCGCTAAACTGTTGATATGCAAAACGCTGTGAAAAATCCACCACCGGATGAATTAAATCGACTCAGCAGAGCAACATGCCTGTCAAATTATAAACCAGCACATGTGATTCGATCTGCAGATTGATAGCCGGCAATAGGGAGGCGATTCAGTGAACATTAATATCTTGACATTAATAAAGGAAGAGAGAGGGAAGCTAATGGTGTAAAATCGTACGGCAACTTTATTCATAAAAACAGTCCATTGTATTACACTCACATTCCATAGTGTCAAAGCCGACACTAGCTTAAACATCTTATCCAGCACAAATTCAAAAAATTCAGCTGAGGCCGACATCTCAATGGGCGTGGTGACGTCACTCCAAGGCTCCACCCTATGCGTTTCGTCACTTGATGTCCTCACGGAGTGGATGGAAAAAAATAGGTGAGATATCTAAAATGTCAATAATAGATAACATTAAATAAGGTGTTCGTATAAAATATGGCAAATATTCTATAACACAAAAATATCCATAGAGAGTAAAAAAAAGTTGACAGTGTCCTTCTTTAGAAGTCCTTCATCCAGGAAGAAATCCACAAAGTGTGAGAGAAGAGTTGTTATTCAGGATTTATATAGCGTCCACAGTGTGCGCAGCGCTTTACAAAATGAAGGTAGACATTACAGTGACAATACAATTTGGTACAAGAGGAAGTAGAGGGCCCGGCTTGTCAGAGCTTACAATCTAGGACACGGGTGTCAAACTGGTGGCTCTCCAGCTGTTTCCATACTACAAGTCCCATGAGGCATTGCAAGATTGACAGTTACAAGCATGACTTCCAAAGTCAGAGGCATGATTGGACTTGTAGTTTGGCAACAGCTGGAGGGCCGCCAGTTTTGACACCCCTGATCTAGGAGATGACATTTACTGCTTAGTAAACAAGTAGTAAAGGAGATTCCACCAACACGTGACAAGGTTCAAAGTGCCTCTTACCAGATCAGATGGACCATCCAATTATAGCAGTTTGTTGTGTATGGGGCTGTGTAGTGGCAGACCAGTCAGGGTGCCCATGCTGACCCATGTCTACAACCAAAATCGCAAACAACAGGCACATCAGAACTGGACCATGGAGCAATGGAAGAAGGTGTTTTTGACGTGTTGACTTGGCCTCTAAATTCTCCAAATCTCAATCCAATCAAGCATTTGGGGGATGTTCTGGAAAAATAAGTCTGATCCATGGAGGTCCCACCTCACAACTTACAGGACTTCAAGGATCTTCTACTGACGGCTTGGTGCCAGATACCACAACGTACCTTCAGAGGTCTAGTGGAGTCCATGGCTCAACAGGTCGGGGCTGGTGCCAAAAGAGGGACCTACTCAATATCAGGTGTGTGGTCATGTTATGGCTGATCGGTAAATACATGAACTGGTTTACTTGGCAGAGGAATAGGGCTCATTCACACTAGAATTTCATCCCCATACACCGCAGTGGACCTGATGTGAGGTGCACTGCAAACAAATGCAATCAACCTCAATGCAATGTTACGGTGTGGACAAGGCACCTAGTATACAATCGTTTTCTATCTGGCCTTGCAATCAGTCAGGATTAATGCAGATCACTGCACATTGTGTAAATGAGCCCTTAGGCCAGGTTCACATGTGTGGCCGTACGGGCACGAGAGCCCATTTATTTGAATGGACTCCCGTTGCCCCGGAACACGCAGGGAAGAAGTCCCTGCACTTCTTCGGGAAACGCAGCCCACACGGGAACCGCGGTTCCCAGTACAGTTGCGATTTCCACTGTGGGCAGCATGCCACTAGAATTAATGGCATCCGCCAGTGGGTCCCGCATTCCTCTTGCAGATGGTGCGGCTGCAGGTACTTTTGTGCGGATCCCTCGGCGTCACCACCCGCACAGATGTGAATCAAGCCTGATCGCTTATGTAGGGAAGGGTTCAACCCGTCACAGTTTGTTTTATCATGTCTGTATCCTGTTGGGTAGATCTTCCTTCACTATCTGTCCCGGAGACACAAGAGGAGCTGATATGTAATCATTACAAGGTGAAGAGATTTCCCTTCTTGGAGAGTTGTCATCAGAGCAGGTGTCCCCATAGGAAAATGAACCCCATGTACACGAGTAGCTCCTAAACCCGAGTTTAGGAGCTTTTAGCATTTTTTTGTCAAAGCTCCTAAACTTGACTCCATAGAAGCCTATGGGTCCATGTACACACAGGCTTTTAGCAGAGTTTAGGAGCTGCTGTGTTTAGGTGAGGTTAAACCTTCCTTTCCTGAATGCAGAAGAATCACGTTCAGGATAGGAACGTTTTGACCACTGGCCGTTGGAAAACGCAAAACGTGGCATAATCAAGGCACCGCAGCTGCTGCGGATTTGCCATGATTCGCGGTTTCCTGCGGTCATGGTAGGCTTGTGTACATGGAGCCTAAAAGTTTTGATTTCCTATCAATTTATGCCTCAGTGGGAACAGTCAGCAGGACAAATAGGGAGTGTGAAAATACCTACTGGGGGCACAAACAGCAATGAAAATCTACTAGGGATGGTAATATTGCCCTACTCCATCCGAAACTTAACCCCTTGGCCCCAGCGCCTCCCGGCCCTTTAAGGGTTCCAGAAGATGGGAGGAGGGTTTTAGGGTCATGTGACCGCCGTGATTCGCGTCACGGCAGTCACATGATCGGGAAAGGTCCCAATCGAGAGAGGAGATCGGGACCTTCCTGTGAGTACCAAACGTGTGTTCTGGGAGCGCGCAGGGCGCGTGCTCTCAGCACATGTTTTTTTTAATAGAACGCAAATGTGTGGCCGCTCGGCGTCTAGGCTCTATGCATAACCACTACATGACATGACATTTTTTTTAAAAAAAAAGAACCTTTAGTATCACTTTAAAAATTGATCCGGCTATACATACACTTTAATTCTGCTCAGCTAGTTTTGTGATTCACCCATCCCTGATAACCCTGCACTGCCCATCAGATAACACCCCCCTCCCTTTCATTTTTCAATTTGTCACCTGAGGGGCCATTGGATTAGAAATGGGTTGTGTGAGATAGTCTCATTGGTTGCTGAGCCGGCAGGAGGAGGAAAGTTAAACAAAGTGGCTGGTGAGTGTATATTATGCTGTATACATGTAAACATCAGTCCTGAGCAGGGGTGGTAGGTTCCATGTATGCTGTATGCATGGAAAAGATGGTTCATGTGCATATAGAATACTTGAACCCTGTTGCTGCTCAGAGCCATCGTTTAAATCTTTGTAAAATGTATCCAGCGGCGGTGGCGGAGTTGCTGAATATCCACTGTTGATATGTTGGCACTGAGTAAGTCATTCGCACGTGCAGAATGACCTTGGCCTTCAGTCCTTCAGAATCGGTTGAGGTCATTCTTTTTATGTCCTTTTCCATCTTTATAAAGTTCCATTACCTTGTTACGCAGAACTTTTGACAGTTCTTTTCTGATCCCCATGGCTCAGTATCTAGTCTAGTCAGTGCTTCCACGTAAGAGCTAACAAACTCATTGACTATTTATACACTGACACTAATTGCAATTTCAAAAGCCACAGATGTGGGACATTAACCTCTAATTGGCATTGTAACCTACGTGTGTCACCTTGTGTGTCTGTACCAGGGGCGGACTGACAACTCATGGGGCCCCTGGGCAATAGGGGATCATGGGGCCCCTGTGTCCTTGCCCAAACTCAATAAAGCCTATGAAAAGGGTACCAGGGGCATCTCATGGGGCCCCCTACTGACCCTGGGCCCTCGGGCAGTGCCCGTGTTTCAAAATGGTCAGTCCACCCCTGGTCTGTACCAAGGCCAAACATTCCAGGGGGTGGAGACTTCTGATCCAGGGGGGTGGATACTTCTGATCCAGGGGGCAGATACTTCTGATCCAGGGGGCGGAGACTTCTGATCCAGGGGGGCGGAGACTTCTGATCCGGGCCATTTGGGTGATTTCTGTTATCATTATGATTTAAAAAGGAGCCAAACAACTATTTGATAAGAAATGGCTTCACATGATCATCATCCTTCAATAAAAGAGCATTTTGTGGCATGATCAGTCAGATTTTCAAAATCAATTCCAAAATTTCACAATTTCTGCCAAACTTTTGAGCACAACTGTATATGTGATGCAGGAAACGCAGTGCATCTTGTGCATTTCCTACACCGCATTGAAATTGCATGGCATTCATGCGATCTGATGCAGGGGGTCAATGTTAAATAATGGCACCCCCGAAGCAGCTCACAAAACACAGTGCGATTGCCTGAAATTGGATCGCATGGGTGTTCAGCTGCGACCAAAAAAGGGGCCCAGAAACTGGTGCGAATGTGGTGCAATACAAAATGAATGGTTCAAATCGCACAGAATTGCACGTGTTTTGCACAGGTATGTGGTACGATTCCTGTGCAGATCGCATTCGCTGCGTCAGTGTGAACCGGGTTCAAAGAATGTTCTGGTTAGGGGTGCCCATGGAATAAAGGTGAGTGTTTCACGCCTCATCAATAAATGGTAACTTTACTGCGATGTTTGTCAGTGTCATGTTGCAGTATATTTGTTGTGGCGTTACTATGGGAACTGTCAACTATATAGGAGCTCAGTGATAGAGGGCAAGTGAGGTCTCATTGTCTGCTGTCCACCTAGATCGGGGTCTCCAAACTTCAGTCTGAGGGCCACATTGTATGCTTTAAAAGTGTTAGTTTGCTGAAACAAAAATCATTTTTATAAATGAACAAATAAACCAGCTCCAAGAGAAAACTTCACATTAGAAGCCCCCCATCACACCAGAAGTCCTCCTTTCACAAAAGAGTTGGCTCTTCACATCAGAAGTCAACCTTCACATCTGAAGATCCCCCATCACATCAGAAGTCAACCTTCACATCTGAAGATCCCCCATCACATCAGAAGTCAACCTTCACATCTGAAGATCCCCCATCACATCAGAAGTCAACCTTCACATCTGAAGATCCCCCATCACATCACAAGTCAACCTTCACATCTGAAGATCCCCCATCACATCACAAGTCAACCTTCACATCTGAAGATCCCCCATCACATCACAAGTCAACCTTCACATCTGAAGATCCCCCATCACATCACAAGTCAACCTTCACATCTGAAGATCCCCCATCACATCACAAGTCAACCTTCACATCTGAAGATCCCCCATCACATCAGAAGTCACCTCTGCACAACAAAAGTGCCCCCCACCACATCAGAAGTTCCCCATCAGAAAAATAACTCACCTTTACATCAGAAGTCCCCCCTTCTATAAACGTCACCCCTTCACATCAGAAGCCCCCCACCACATCAGAAGTCACCCTTCCCATAAAAGTCACCCCTTCACATCAGAAGCCCCCCACCCATCACATCAGAAGTCACCCTTCCATAAAAGTCACCCCTTCACAACAAAAGCCCCCCCCACCACATCAGAAGCCCCCCCATCAGAAAAAGAAGTCACTTTCACATCAGAAGTCTTCCCTCCCATAAAAGTTACCCCTTCACATCAGAAGCCCCCAGGGGCGGACTGACTACTCATGGGGCCCCCGGGCAATAGGGGATCATGGGGCCCCTGTGTCCTTGCCCAAACTCAAAAAAGCCTATGAAAAAAGGTACCAGGGGCATCTCATGGGGCCCCCTACTGACCCCGGGCCCTCGGGCAGTGCCCGAGTTTCTAAATTGTCAGTCCGCCCCTGGAAGCCCCCCACCACATCAGAAGCCCCTCATCACATCAGAAGTCACCTTTCACATCAGATGCCCCTCATCACATCAGAATCCCCCCATCACATCAGAATCCCCCCCATCACATCAGAAGCCCCCCTTCACATCAGAAGTCACCATTCACATCAGAAGCCCCCCCATCACAACAGAAGTCACTCTTCACACCAGAATCTCCCCCATCACATCAGAGGTCACCCTTCACATCAGAAGCCCCCCTTCACAACAGAAGCCCACCATCACATCAGAAGTCACCCTTCACATCAGAAGCCCCCCCATCACATCAGAGGTCAGACTTCACATCAGAAGCCCCCCATCACAACAGAAGTCACCCTTCACATCAGAAGCCCCCCCATCACAACAGAAGTCACCCTTCACATCAGAAGCCCCCATCACAACAGAAATCACCCTTCACATCAGAAGCCCCCATCACAACAGAAATCACCCTTCACATCAGAAGCCCCCATCCCCCCATCACATCAGAGGTCAGACTTCACATCAGAAGCCCCCCATCGCATCAGAAGTCACCCTTCACATCAGAAGCCCCCCCATCACATCAGAGGTCAGACTTCACATCAGAAGCCCCCCATCACATCAGAAGTCACCCTTCACATCAGAAGCCCCCCATCACAACAGAAGTCACCCTTCACATCAGAAGCCCCCCATCACATCAGAAGCCCTCTCATCACACCAGAAGCCCTCTCATCACACCAGAAGCCCCCCATCACAACAGAAGTCACACTTCACATCAGAAGCCCCTCCATCACATCAGAAACCCTCTCATCACACCAGAAGCCCACCAGCACAACAGAAGCCCCCCATCACATCAGAAGTCACCCTTCACATCAGAAGCCCCCATCACATCAGAAGTCACCCTTTACATCAGAAGCCCCCCATCACAACAGAAGTCACCCTTCACATCAGAGGACCCTCCATCACATCAGAAGCCCCCCATCACATCAGAAACCCACCAGCACAACAGAAGTCACCCATCACATCAGAAGTCACCCATCACAACAGAAGCCCCCATCACATCAGAAGTCACCCTTCACATCAGAAGTCACCCTTCACATCAGAAGTCACCTTTCACAACAGAAAACCCCCCATCACATCAGAAGTCACCCTTCACATCAGAAGTCACCCTTCACATCAGAAGCCCCCCATCACATCAGAAGTCACCATTCACATCAGAAGCCCCCCCCCCCCATCACATCAGAAGTCACCCTTCACATCAGAAGTCACCCTTCACATCAGAAACCCCCCATCACATCAGAAGTCACCCTTCACATCAGAAGTCACTCTTCACATCAGAAGTCACTCTTCACATCAGAAGCCCCCCATCACATCAGAAGTCACTCTTCACATCAGAAGCCCCCCATCACATCAGAAGTCACCCTTCACATCAGACGCCCCCCCCCCCCCCATCACATCAGAAGTCACTCTTCACATCAGAAGCCCCCCCCCATCACAACAGAAGCCCCCCATCACAACAGAAGTCACCCTTCACATCAGAAGCCCCCCATCACATCAGAAGCCCCCCATCACATTATAAGCCCTCTCATCACACCAGAAGCCCACCATCACAACAGAAGCCCCCCTATTACATCAGAAGCCCACTATCACATCAGAAGTCCCCCTTCCCATAAGTCACTCTTCACAACAGAAGTCCCCCCACCACATCAGAACCCCCCCCCCCCATCACATCAGAAGTCACTCTTCACACCAGAAGCCCCCCCATCACAACAGGAGCCCCCCATCACAACAGAAGTCACCCTTCACATCAGAAGCCCCCCATCACATCAGAAGCCCACCATCACAACAGAAGTCACCCTTCACATCAGAAGCCCCTCCATCACATTAGAAGCCCACCATCACAACAGGAGCCCCCCATCACAACAGAAGTCGCCCTTCACATCAGAAGCCCCCCATCACATCAGAAGCCCCCCATCACAACAGAAGCCCACCATCACAACAGAAGTCACCCTTCACATCAGAAGCCCCCCCATCACATTAGAAGCTCTCTCATCACACCAGAAGCCCACCATCACAACAGAAGCCCACCTATCACAACAGAAGCCCACCTATCACATCAGAAGTCCCCCTTCCCATAAAAGTCACTCTTCACAACAGAAGTCCCCCACCACATCAGAAACCCCCCCATCACATCAGAAGTTGTCCTTCACATCAGATGCCCCCCCATCACATCAGAATCCCCCCAACACAACAGAAGTCACCCTTCAAATAAGATTCACCCCTTCACATCAGAAGCCCCCATCACATCAGAAATAATCTTTTCACATAAGAGTTGCCCCTTCACATAAGAAGCCCCCCCCCCCCCCCATCAAATCATTACATCAGAGTCCCAGCCCTCCCCCATTACATCAGTTTCCCCATCACCTTAGAGCCACCCATCCCCCATGCACACCAGAGTTCCTCCTTCACATCGGGACCAGGGGACCAGTAAAATCATATAGTGGGCCAGAGGTGGCCCCGGGGCCACAGTTTGGAGGCTCCTGGCTTAGATAAACATCGGTGAATATAATATTTCCATTTACAGTCCAGGTCTTCCTGTACATAGAGATGTGTAAAGAGGATGATCCCCGCCAAGGAGACGCACAAAGGAACCAATTATTGAACAAAGTATTATTATTATTATTATTATACAGTATTTATAAAGCGCCAATAGTTCGCTCAGCGCTGTACATTACAAAGGGGGACAGAACATGTGACAGAACAATACCAATACAATGCAAAACATGAGGGGATCGAGGGCCCTGCTCCTTGGAGCTTACAATCTAGGAGGGAGTGGATGGTGGTACAGGAGGAGATAGCTGTGGGGGATGGAGTGGTAGGAAGAGTGGAGGAGGTCAGCAAGTTAGCAGGGGGTGAGGTAGGCTTCCCTGAAGAGATGGGTTTTCAGGGTGCGCCTAAAGGAGAG